GCCCCTCGCGGCACAGTGGCGCGGACACGTTAGCCTGGCTGGGACAAGGACCACGGTGGCTCTCCCTATAAACCTGCGCAAGCGCATTGCACACGTTCTGGATGAGACATTCGAGAAGATTACCGAGGCCGATTACCGCAATGTGATAAACCACATCAATGCACTATTCCGCATCTAGGCATGCATGCCTAACCCTCCTCTCCCAAAGAGGATCTAGATCCACCGAAAAAATTCCTTCCCCCCCAAAAAAACTGCTTACCGGGAACCTGCTCTTCTGTTTGTCCTCCACCAAGTACCGGCCGCTGCAACTGGCTACGTTCCTCCTGGCTCGAGAAGAGCTCCTAGCTGCATGGCTCCAGGGATTCTGGGGTGTCTCCATCCGGCCCACCACCATCACTCCCGTTTTCCTCCTCCTCCTCCCCCCTCCCCCTCCAAACCGGCTCTGAAGTGTCCATGCTGGTGCTCGGAGTGGAGATGGGGTTAACCCCAAGTATCGCATCCAGCTCTTTGTAGAATCAGCAGGTCGTGGGGGGAGCACCCGAGTGGCCGTTTGTGTCGCGGGCTTTGCAGTAGGCACTCTGCAGCTCCTTCACTTTAATCCTGCACTGCAGGGAGTCCCAGTCATGGCCCCTTTCCATCATGTCCTTTGATACATTCCCGAAGGTATTGTAATTCCTATGGCTGGAGCGCAGCTGGGACTGGACAGCTTCCTCCCCCCAAACACTGATGAGGTCTAGCAACTCGCCATTGCTCCATGCTGGGGCTCGCTTGGCGCGTGGAGGCATGGTCACCTGGAAAGATTCGCTGATAGCACTCCACACCACGCCGGGCTGAGCAAACAGGAAGGGGATTTTTAAAATTCCCGGGGAATGTAAAGGGTGGGTCACATGGGTGGTTACCTGAGGCCAGGGCAGTAGAGTTTGAACTGATGACCAGAGTGGCTATAACAGGCATTGTGGGATACTGCCAAATAATTCTGGAGGCCATTCACAGCGCATTGGGCGGCCACACTGGCGCCACAGCGCTGCAGCGGCAGCGCTGCACTCGCTATTCCTCTTGGAGAGGTGGAGTACATGCAGTGCTGCAACCAAGGAGATACAGCGCTATGGAGGGACCTGTTTGGGGGTGTCAGAGAAGAGGATTGCAGAGGCACCTTGGAGGGGGGAAAGGAGTGCGGGGGGGGGTGCAATCTGTGAGAGGCATAGATGAAAGATTTCTGCAGCTGGGCACGGGGAGCTGCTCACTGTGGACCACGCACGAAGCATCGGCCGCTCTTACCCCCTGCTCAGTGAGCTGTGGCATGTCCCAGCCTGAGCCCCAAGGCCAGGGCACCCCTAATGCACACGCCTCGCCTCAGCACGCGCCAAGCCCTGCGGGAACTACAGGGAGCCCCGAGCGCAGCACGCGGAATCCCTCACGCCCCGCCCCGAGAGTCCCTCTTCTGCGCATGCGCTATCTTCACAGCGCACGCCCCGTCGCCCTCCCAACTCACAGGTGAGTGCACCGAACGCTTCCAGGAAGAGGAGTGTCCCACTTCGCCGCGCTGCATCTTGGGAGTTGTAGTCCATTCGCGGTCTCCCAGCAAGGGCATATGCTGGTGGGAAACTACATTCCCCATAATTCTGTGCGTGGCTCCGCTCTTTTCACTGTCTGGGGTGATCGAACTGGCCCCAGGTCCGGCTGGGAGGCTCCGGAGTTTGTAGCGAGGACGGGCCCGCTCCTCCCCCTTTGTGCCTGGAAGAGAGGAGCTGCTGCAAGGAGAGGAGGCTGCAGCTGTTGCTGCAACGTGACGCTTTGCATCCCTTCCCTGCTCCTCTGCTCGCCCCGGGCTAGCGGGGGCGGAGCTGGCTTAGCCCTGCACCTCGCTCACAGGTTATGCTAAAGGAAAGTGGGGGGTCAGCAGCCTCCTCCTTTCCCCCCAGCCAGGGTGACCAGACGTCTCCATATTAGGGACTTTGTTTTATGTACAGTACGCAGCTATCATCACCACCCCCAAAAAGTGTCCTGATTTTTCACACTTGCTGTCTGGTCGCCCTACCCCCAATGTGCCTGTTTATGGTAGCTGAATTTGTGGGCTGAGGTGCAGTGCAGCCTCCTTCCGCCTCCACCCTTTCCCAGGGCTGGCATTACATAAGCTAATCCACACGCAGCATCTCGTAGGGAGGACAGCCCCTGGGCATGGGTATCTGGGCTCGAGTGAGTGTCTTGGGCACCCTGGCTTTCTGTGTGCACCAGAAGAGGGTAGCCCTGGCTGAGCTGAGAAGGGACAAAACTCAGTACAGCGGCGATCGCCATCAGCTGGAGCTGAAGTTGGTCCAGGTCATATTTCGGCATGGAGCGCGCACTCCTTTAAGACCTATCCCGAAACCAGAGCAGGTGAGAAGGGGCTACTGGAAACTCCGAATGTAAGGACAGCGTGGCTGATCTGAGGAGCAGAGGAAGCTGCTGTCCCTGTATCTTGGGGGAGGCGGGAGAGTATCTGCAGTGACAGGGTGTGCACTAGAGCAGTGGAAAAGAACAGTGAAGTGTATTGTTGTTTTTAAAAGTTTGACTTCAAGTAAAATCTGAATCTATCTAATTTTTGTTCCTAAACTGTAGTGTCTACTGGCAAGTAGATAAGTACTACTGTGCTAAAGTGTGAATTCTGACTCTTCCTGGTACAGCTGATTCACAGTCCTAGACTCAGCTCTGAACTCCCAGTTTTTGTACCATATTTATAAACAAGTATAGCTGACGACTCTACAATAGTAAAATCTAGATCCTGACAGATCAAGTAGAGTGGCAAAATTTCAGATCTAGCATTTGGATCCTTCTGGACCTAACTATATATTGGTTTCCACATTTTACCATTTAATAATACCACTTCTCTTTTATTACTAGATTTTAAAGTAGGTTGTAGTTTTACAAAGGAGGTATCATTATCCCCATTTAACAGATGGAGGAAACTGAGGCACAAGGGGACATAACTTACCTAAGGTCTCCCTGCAGCAGAATTAGGACTAGAAATCAGTTCCCCTAAGCCCCAGTCTATTAGGCTATGTTGGCTCCTTACAAACAACACTTATATTCAGTGCCCTTGCACTAGAAAAGTCTGATTCCCAGTGCATTCTGGTGCAATAAAGCTTGGGGGGAGAGGAAGGAAATCCACTGCTGAATCCACTTAATTTTTATTTTTCTCCCCCAACTCAAAATCATTTACTATGTATAATGACAACTAGTGTTAAAAATAAAATGCTTACTGTCTGTTACAGCTGTCCCCCTACTGCATTCCTTTTCCCCCTCTCCTTTCTGTTTGTCCTGTGTGGCCGCCCCTCCCCGCCATTGTGCTAACTAAAGTCACAGCCCTATTCATAGGAATGGCTTGTACAGCCTAACTGGAGCCATTGCTCTGCCTAGGGAGGGGGCTTCTTGCTTCTTTGTTTGGTTTAATTAAAAATAATAAAATAAATACTTAATTAATGGAGATATCCCATCTCCTAGAACTGGAAGGGACCTTGAAAGGTCATTGAGTCCAGCCCCCTGCCTTCACTAGTAGGACCAAGTACTGATTGTGCCCTTGATCCCTAAGTGGCCCCCTCAAGGATTGAACTCACAACCCTGGGTTTAGCAGGCTAATGCTCAAACCACTGAGCTACCCCTCCCCCCATGGTTCCTTTGTTCAGACCCGGGCTCGGTATGCGGGGGCGCTGCCCAGAAATGCAAGACCTGAAGTGGCCAACTAATTAAGCATATGAGTCATACCTGTGGCTCAGAACATGCCCAGGCATGCCTATGCTTCCCTGCAGCCTTTCCCTGCCTTCTCTCCTCCCGTGTATCAAGAGGAGCCAATCAAAAGTACTGGTGGGAAACTGCCTGAGTTTGCCTTTAAAGCCGGACATTTTCTGATCAGACCTTGGAGAAGGTCCTTGCTTTGCCACCTGGTCTGATCAGCTAGGGGTCTTTGGGGGGCCCTCTCCCCGCTCTCGTTTGTTTTTGAGCGTACCCTCGTTTTTAAACTCCCCTCCCACGAACAACAAATTTGTGCCTGGAGATCTCCTGATTATTGTAAGCTAATTGAGTCCTCTCTCCATCCTCCGATGCTACTGCCGTTCCTATCTCTGTGCTTGCTGCTGTCCTGGGGATTGGTAAGAACTCCCTCTTGCAAACTTCCCCTGTCCTAGCTGCTGGCCTTGTTTCCCCAGCAAACAGACCCAAGCTAACTCCTTGGTCTGTATCTGTAATCTGTTTCTTGCTCCGCAGCGCCTTTGCTGCTGGAAATAAGCCTGTGCCGCTGCTAGGCTGTGCCTTCCTGGACTGTATCCTGGGCTGCCGGCTTGCAGTCACCCCACTGCTGCAGCCACCACTAGTTAACCCGCACACACACCCCGGGGGCTGTACCCTGGGCACACACCACTCTGCCCTCTGGAACTGCTCCCCCTCCCGATCAAAGAAGCGGCATAGTGTAAGGTGCACCTATTAGAATCAGGTTCTTAGTCTAGATAAGTTGTAATTTCATTTTGCAGAGCTGGGGTTAAGTTAGGTTTAAAGAATTGTTCGTATTGTGCTCTGTAAGTTAGGTTTAAAAAAAATTGTTGCATTGTGTTCTGTTATTTGCTAATTTGTGTAGTCTTGGTTAAGTTAGATCATAGATAAGATTTTACTGTGTTCTGTATAATTGTGGTTAAGTCTGTCTTCCCGCTGCCCTAACCCCCCCCACACTCCTGAGCTTGCCCGAGCTCCCCAGTCACTCGTTGCAGTCTCTCTGCTGTTTAAACTTGCAGCCTGTCTGCTCTCTGTGTCTCCCTGAGTTTAAATCTCCCTCCGCAGCACCTCTGCCATTGGTCTCTGCTCCACCATGTGCTCCTCTTCCTCCAACCTCACTCCTCTACCACTGCCTTTCTCTCTCTCTCTTTTAATCCCTTCCCCCATGTGCTCACCCTGCTCCTGCTGCTGCCAAACCTCAATTGTATTACTGAAGTCTAGCATTAAACCCCATTGGTTACCCTTTTTCTCTCTAACACACCTCACATTTTACATTTACACCACTGTGACATATTTTTACCTAGAGTTATCGGTAAAATGTGTTAAATAACCAACCACCGTTAGTTGGTTATATGCTGCTGTGACACACCCTTTACATAGAAACTATTAGCTACCTGTTACATTTATACTTCAGTGTTAATTGGTTACCACTGTATTGGACCCCACTGTATTGTACCCCACTATTGAAACCCCCTATCCTACTTACTAAAAGAAACCCCACCCGAATTGTCTACCTTAACAAACCCCGTACCCCTCACTATTGAATTTTCCTTGTTTTTGCATTTTCTTAATAAAGTTTATTTTGCACCCCACCCGTGCAGTAGTTGTCCCCCAAGATCCCCTACCTGCTGGCAGAGTCACTTACCAGTACACCATTCTCCCCTACCTTTGTGTGCTTTACACTTATTTATGAGGAGAAGAGCAGTTATCCTTCAGGGAAGTGGCAGTGTGGTTTAGCAGGAGGAGAGGAGATGGTGAACAGGATGGGCTTGACAAAGTGAAGACATGGCAGCCCTTTGTCTCAGGGAGCCTGGTGGTTCTGGCATCCAGCACTGGGAAATGGTGCTGCCCTGTGGTGGGGCTTCTGGCCTAGACTCCGGGGGTTTTTGTTTTGGGCGTCTCATTAAATCGTTCCTAAAGCCTAAACACTCCAAAAGACCAAAGTGCCTTTGAAGGGTAACGTGTCTTTTTGAAAGGTTGGCCTGCCCTTTGGTCATTGTGCTGAGAACACCTGCAATTCCTAGGTAAAGGCTTTGGACCTAAGAATCTAATGACACTGAGCCTCCCAAACATAGTCAGTGCCCTGTTTCAGAGACATTTGTACTTGCAGGGATTTAGACTCGGTGCATCTTCCAACTCCTGGATGTGGTATCTGGATCCTATCAGAACCTGTCCATTTTTGCCCCTGAATCTTAGATTTTTACCGTCTATGTAGACAATAAATGCAGCTGGTAAGGTGGAAGAAGAGGGAGCATCTTGTCTAGTGTTGGTCAGATCATATTTGATGTTAGTGTGTTCAGTGCAACTGTGCATATGAGTGTTTGGTTCCAACTGTGACCTAGATTGCTATCAAATTTGTGGCTTTGGTAGATACATTAGCCAGGGATGGTGTAATGGCTGTCTTTAAAACGGGGATGAGAGAGATCTCTGATTCAAATTGACTTGTACACAAATCCAAGCAGGATAAAGGGAGTCAGAATTGTTAGGATACCATTTTGGAAAAAATAGCAATATTGGATAAAATAGTAATTAATTAAAGTTAGATGCAGTTAACAATACCATAAAGCCTTGCTCATTTGGCGTGACAACAGGGAGTCCCATTACCAAGTGCTGATTTTTTTTAATTAGCAAGTGAACAGAATAACAAAGCTATTTCATTATAGTGTTCTCTATTCATTTATTGTGTCAGCTGTAGTTTAATTTTAATTATTTATACAATATGGCGTAGTAGTAAACATACTCTCTAATAATGTGCAAAAGTAATGAAGTCTTGGCAATATGAAACCTCGCTACAGGAGTCTGCTGTGAAATCTTTGCTGAGAAGAGGGTTCACACCATTTATTTAAATATGGGAATTAGGAAGTTGCTGTTTAGCAAGGTTCTAATGTATTAATTTAAAACGTAGTTAATATTGAGTGCGCAGACATGTTCTATTGACATCAGTGTGGGTGCATAGCTGAGGGCAGAACTGGATCTTCTGTTACTGTATAAGTACACATAATTATGATAACTAGTTTAACTACATGGAAATCCTATAAATTCACTTTTGTGTATTGAGAAGCTGCTGATGTCCTATCCCTTAGCCACACTTAGTATCTGATATAAAATAGAGTTTGGCATCTGACACTCTCAAAAAGATGTCTGTCACACTTTAACTCAAATAGCATCATGTGCAGAGATCCTAACTTTTTTTTTTTTTTTAAATGGAGATATCCCATCTTCTAGAACTGGAAGGGAC